TCAATAAACACAATGAAAAGAAAATTGCAAGAAAATAAAAGACAGAGGGAGAACTAATAGATTGAAAGAGGCTTAAGAGATAGGCAATGTGTGAACCCTATTTGGAACCCAATTCAAATAAACCAAATGAAAAAAAAATTGTTTTTATCAAAGAGATGGACAATCAAGGAAATCTGAAGATTGGTTTGATATTTGTGCTATTATTAAGGAATTATTATTGGGTATTTTGGTTACTTTAAGAGAAAAAAAGAGTTCTGGTCTTCTAGGAATGTATATATAGATAAAATATGCCTTGGATTTGCTATAATTTCGGGAGGGATAGGAGAAAGAGAAAATACTTGAAACAAGATTAGCCATATACTGATAGTTGTGGGTAATGAGTAGATGGGTATAAATTATACTATTCTCTCTACTTTGTGTATGTTTAATTTTTCCCATAATAAAGTTTTTAAAAGGTTGTAGGTGTTAGGCAATCTAGATCTACAGTTGTACTGGTTACAGAACTCGAAAAAATGTTTTGCACCTCCATAGTTGATGTACTTATCACAATATATCACTCTTAGGCTATACTAAAGATGCTCATATAAAGCTTCAATGGTGACAAAATATTAGGTGAGACCTGGCCAAGGTCCTGCAAGGGGAATTGAGAAAAAAATGTGTACAACTGCTTGAGCTCTGTAAGATTTTAAAAACCATTTTAACGTCAAATAGTTAGAATTTCTACAACAGAGATAGGGTTGTTCCTTAAAAAGTTTTAAGGCAGATATTATGTAATTGAATCAGCAGGAGGAAAAGAACAAGTTTATCTTAAGAATAATGAATTTATGGTTTTTAGAATAAATTAGGACTCTCTGTGGGAAGCTGAATACATGGAGGAGACCCAGTAGTGATCTTCCATATGTCAAATAAGAGAAAATATGCTCTAGCGGTTATACCAGCTTTAGCCTAATCCCAAATCAAGTCAACCACAAACTGTACAGATGGGAGTTTAAATGGGTTAACTTTTTTGTTACAGGAAAAAAATATAGCATGCAATTCAAATGGAAAAGTTCTTAGACAAATCCATAGGAACTTGTCAAAGGCCACAAAGGTCATCATTGTCTAATATACACCAGTCTCTTGGGTTTCCCAGTACCAGGAGCCTCCCCATTTACAGAAAGTCAGATTTAGGTAAGCATAAGAATTAAAATGAGTATATGCTAAGACTGAGAAAGACTCTGCAGACTAAAGAAAAAAACTTGCTTTCTATAATTCTCCAGTCAGTAGTAACTTGAAACAAAACAGTTTTCTCTTATTACTGCCTAAAGAATACTGGGTTCAGGCTTCCACCAAGCTTTAATACCCATCAAGTAGGCTAGTACCAGACAAATCACAAACCTCCTTGAGACTCAGCTTCTCCATATGCAAAAGAGGGATAAAACTTGTTCTCTCCTCCCCATGGGGGTATAATGAGGATCAAATAAGATGATAAATCCAGATGAAAACTAAAAAATATCACACAAAAAGTTATATTATTACTAGCCAAAATGAGAGAAAGCAGGATCCAAATTAATGATCTGAAAAGGTTCAGAGGCTGGGCGCAGTGGCTCACGCCTATAATCCCAGGGCTTTGGGAGACTGAGGTGGGCAGATCACCTTAGGTCAGGAGTTCAAGACCAGCCTGGCCAACATGGTGAAACCTTGTCTCTACTAAAACTACAAAAATTACACAGGCGTGGTGGCGCGCACCTGCAGTCCGAGCTACACCGGAGGCTGAGTTCAAGACCAGCCTGGCCAACATGGTGAAATCCTGTCTCTACTAAAAATACAAAAAATTACACAGGCGTGGTGGTGTGCACCTGTAGTCTGAGCTACACTGGAGGTTGAGACAGGAGAATCACTTGAACCCAGAAGGTGAAGGTTGCAGTGAGCTGAGATCATGCCACTGTACTCCAGCTTGGATGACAAAGCAAGTCAACGTCACCAAAAAAAAAAAAAAGAAAAGGCCAGGCGTGGTGGCTCACGCCTATAATCCCAGCACTTTGGGAGGCTGAGGTGGGTGGATCACTTGAGATCAGGAGTTCGAGACCAGCCTGGGCAAAATGGTGAAATCCAGTCTCTAATAAATATAAAAATTAGCCAGGTGTGGTGCCGTGTGCCTGTAATCCCAACTACTTGAGAGGCTGAGGCACAATAATCACTTGAATCCGGGAGGAGGAGGGTGCAGTGAGCCGAGATCGCGCCACTGCACACCTGCCTGGCAACAGTGAGACTCTGTCTCAAAAAAAAAAAACGTTCAGGGATAGCTGCTTAAATAAATAAAACCAGGCTGGCTCAAGAGTTAGTGAATCACATGACTCAAAAAGACCTTAAGGTTATATCTACAGAGGTTAATATCTTTAAATGAAATCTGAAGGATGGCTGAGGGAAACAAGAAAAGCCTCTTGATGAGAAGAGGAAGCATTTAGGCCAGGATCTATGTCTCTAGAATCACTGTTATTTAGATAACTTGAAAGAAAATAAAGAAACCAGCTGGGCGCGGTGGCTCACACATGTAATCCCAGCACTTTGGGAGGCTGAGGTGGGCGGATCACCTGAGGTTAGGAGTTAAATACCAGCCTGGCCAGCACGGTGAAACCCTGTCTCTACTAAAAATACAAAAAATAGCCGGGCATGGTGGCAGCCACCTGTAATCCCAGCTATTCCGGAAGCCAAGGCAGGAGAATCACTTGAACCCGGGACGCAGAGGTTGCAGTGAGCCGAGATTGGGCCACTGCACTCAGCCTGGGTGACAGAGCGAGACTGTGTCTCAAAAAAAAAAAAAAAGAAAAAAAAGAAAAGAAAGAAGTAAAATGCCCAAAACGATGTTTGCTTAAGATGAAAAGAAATACTGAGAATTCTAGATCTAGGCAGCAAGATCAAGATGAACCACGGTTTTTAAACTTTGAGGGTGACTACAGTTCAGGGTGTGTGTGTGTGTGTGTGTGTGTGTGTGTGTGTGTTTTCAGGGGCAGAGGTAGTGTCAGAGAAAATAGAAAGGTTTCCCTCTTGTCCCCATTGTAGTCATTATTCCAATATTCCTATTCTAAATTTCTTTCCTCTGGACCTAACTCCTCTACCATCTAAAGAACAGGGAACAGGCCAGGAGCAGTGGCTCACGCCTGTAATCCCAACACTGTGGGAAGCCGAGGCGGGCAGATCACCTGAGGTCAGGAGTTTGAGATCAGTGTGGCCAATGTGATGAAACCCCATCTCTCCTAAAAATACAAAAATTAGCCGAGCTTGGTGGAGCACGGCTGTAATCCCAGCTACTTGGGAGGCTGAGGCAGAAGAATCGCTTGAACCTGGGAGGGGGAGGTTTCAGTGAGCCAAGATTATACTACTACACTCCAGCCTGGGTGACAGATCAAGACTCCATCTCAAAAGAAAAAAAAAAATATATATACACACACACACACACACACACACACACACACACACATATGGAACAGAGTTATGTTACTGACGGAAAAAAAAAAAGAAAAAGGAATGGCATTTCTCCTCTATCTCAACTACTGTTTAAAGTTTCAAGTACTCAAGATTGGTACTTGCTATGGTTTTTCTTTTCTTTTTCAATATTTATTTCAGGTTCAGGGGTACATGTGCAGGTTTGATGCATGGGCAAATTGTGTGTTGCTGGGGTTTGGTGTGAAAACGATTTTGTCACACAGGTAGTGAGCATAGTATCCAATAGCTAGTTTTTTGACCCTCATCCTCCTTCTTTGCTCCACCCTCAAAGTAGGCCCTGGTGTCTATTGTTCCCCTCTTTGTGTCCACGTGTACTCAATGCTTAGCTCCCACTTATAAGAACATGCAGTATTCGGTTTTCTATTCCTGCATTAATTTGCTTAGGATAATGGCCTCCAGCTGCATCCATGTTGCTGCAAAGAACATGATTTCATTCATTTTTATGGCTGTGTAGTATTCCATGGTATACACGTACCACATTCTCTTTATCCAGTTCACCACTGATATGCATGTAAGGTTAATTCCACTTGTTTGCTATTGTGAATAGTGTTGCGATGAACACGTAAGTGCATGTGTCTTTTTGGTAGAATGATTTTATTCCTTTGGGTATATACCCCGTAATGGGGTTGCTAGATTGAATGGTAGTTCTGTTTTAAGTCCTCTGAGAAATCACTAGACAGCTTTCCACAGTAGCTGAACTAATTCGTATTCCCACCAGCAGTGTGTAAGTGTTTCCTTTTCACTGCAATATCACCAGCATCTGTTATTTTCTGACTTTTTAATAATAGTCATTCTGACTGGTGTGAGCTGGTATCTTACTGTGGTTTTGATTTGCATTTCTCTAAAAATTAGTGATGTTGAACATTCTTTCATATGTTTTTTTGCCATATAGATGCCTTATTTTGAGACATATTTTGGTGTGGAAGTGGGGTAGTTATCTTGGAAGTAGGTTCCTGACAAAAAGGATGAGCTAGGACCCCTTCTTCACCTTCCTTGCCCATGTGCATACTTACTTGCACTTCCAACTTCTACTATGGAATGATGCAGCAAGAAGGCCCCTGCAAGATGTGGGTCCCTAGATCTAGGATTTTCCAACCTCCAGAATGGTAAGAAATAAATCTCTGTTCTTTATGCATTACTCAGTCTTGGGTATTCTGCAGCAGCACAAAACAGACTAAGACAATACTTTAGAATACAAATGGAAAACTGGAATCCCTAAGGTAATGAACAGTAGAAGGGGCAAGATTCACATTATATCCCCTCATCTACCCAGGGATTGAAAACTGCAAAGATGACAATCTGTAAAGATACAGGTCAACTCAAATAGTGGACAAAGACAATTATTTCATTTTTGGAAAATGTGTATCGTCTGTTTAAATAAAGTTCCATATGCACAGTATAAAACATTCTCACATGGTACTAAGAATATTGTTACTTTTTAATTCATATTTACTGTAATTGTATACTTTGATCAAAATGGAAGGATTTTAAGACACGTTTTCAAGGTAACCTACCTGCAACTGCATGACCACATAGTTGAATCGATCATTCCTCCCACAGCCAATAAATCTACAAACATGGTCTTTCCCTGGATAAAAAAAGAAAGAAAACAGTGGAAAAGAATATACTATGGTTTCTCTTAAAACATTAATAATTTGCTTTTCTGTACAGCATTTTATGATTGAATATAAAATACATCGTGAGAATCTTAAGGATAGAAAACTTATATTATTCAAATTTTCTACCTACCTCCTCTCCTCCCAGGCACTGTACTATTCCTTCATGTGGTCAAATAAATGATTATTTGAATGAATAAATAAGCAAATTAATATATGAATGAGGAAACAAATGTATGATTATTTAGGGAGAAAAAGATTAAGTGGTCAATTCAGATCAACCTGCCCAGATACGATACATATGAAGCCACAGAAGAACAATAAAAAAGAACTATGTTAGAAATAGAAACCCTGAATTTTAGGTATGTTATGGTACTCACTGCTATGACTTCTGCAAGACCCACAATCTTTGGGGGCCTCACTGATGCGGATTCGCCCAGTGATTTTCAACCTGAGTTCCATCTGAGAAACCCAGAACAGTGCTGGCTGGGGCACAGAGGGGAACAGGGGTATAGCAGAAATCTGATTAAAGAAAAGCATGCAAAGACCACCCAAAAGAATTGAGCCACATGTATAGGTTAGTGTTTTTCAACCCTGGCTACTAATGAAAACCATCTGGAACACTTTTTGACACCACTGACCCGAAGGCAGTGGAAAACTTTTTAAAGATTCCTAAGTTCTATATTGATTCAGAATCTGTGAAGAAAGATACAGAATATGAGCTTTTCAAAAGTTCGTTGTTATTTTTTGTGTTTTTGAGACAGGGTCTCACTTTGTTGCCCAGGCTGAAGTGCAGTGGCATGATCTTGGCTCACTGCAACCTCTGCCTCCTGGAAGGCTCAACTGATCCTCCCACCTCAGCCTCCCGAATAGCTGGGACTAGAGGTGTGTGCCACCACAACTGGCTGATTTTTGTATTTTTTGTAGAGATGGGGTTTTACCATGTTGCCCAGGCTGGTCTCAAACTCCAGGGCTCAAGCGATCTGCCCGCCTCGGCCTCCCAAAGTGCTGAGACTACAGGCATAAGCCACTGCACCCAGCCTCAAAAGTTCTTTAAATGATCCTAAACCAGGTAGGACATGGAGAGATATTTGAAAACTACTGCGGGGTAATGAGAAGTATCAAAAAGATTTTAAGATAAAGAATAACATACTAAAACACTGTGGCGGCAATGAGGAGGGTAGACTACAAAGGGGTCAATTCTAGTGGAGAAGGTCACTCTGGGGGATAGTTACAATATCCAGGAGAAAGAATAAGGGGATTAGAGACAGATAAAATAAGATAAATCTGACCAATATTAAAGATGTAGTTTTTTACTAGAATTGGCAAAATTAAATGAAAAGTTGTACCAAAATAAGAGAATACAGTAGGTTGTATAGATTTTAAGTGATATTAAAATGTTGAATTTTAGGACAATCAAGTGAATTCAGTGGACATTGTAAATTCAGGACTGGTGCTGAGATCAAAAGGCAGACATTAAAATGTTGAATTTTAGGACAATCAAGTGAATTCAGTAGACATTGTAAGTTCAGGCCTGATGCTGAGACCAAAAGGCAGAGCTCCAGACGTACACTGAGGAACCATTAATTCACAGACAATAGATGGAAGATTGACAAGTGAAAGAATATAAGAGGAAAAGAAACTTCAGCACATAATTTGGAAAATGCAACATTAATTATTATTATTATTTTTAAAACAGGGTCTCACTATCTTGCCCAGGCTAATCTCAAACTCTGGGCTCAAGCAATCCTCCCACCTCAGCCTCCCAAAATGCTGGGATTTCAGGTGTGAGCCACCATGCCCACCCTAGAAAATGCAATATTCAAAGCATGAGCAAAAATAAGAGTCCCTCAAGGAAACAGAGGAATAGCCTGAAAGATAGGAGGACACTGAGAGAGGGGTATCACAGAAACCAAGGGAGAACACTTCATGAGGGCAGAAGTGGACACTGACAAGTATATAGAAAGGCTGAGAAGTACTAATACAAACAGGAAGTCATTAGTGAGTCAAGGGGCAAAAGTCTGTTTATAATGGGTTAAAGAGTAAACAGAATATGAAATATGAGGACAGACAGTCTTTGAAGGAGCTTGCTTGAAAGTAAGGAAGAGTAACAGGCCAAAGCTTGAAGACGAAGATTTGGGAGACTGATGAAACACTCAAAGAAAATTTGCCTCCTAACTGGCTTAAAATATAAATACAATTAAGACTCAGCAAAGCCAGGTGCAATGACTTCGCCTATAATCCCAGTTACTTGGGAAGCTAAGGTGGGAGGATTGCACGAGGCCAGGAGTTTGAGACCAGCCTGGGCAACATAGCAAGACCCCTTCCCTTTAAAAAAAACAAACTCTTTTGCAACTGTGTTATCAATCAGTACAAGACTGCTCTCTCATTCTCTATGTTTTTGTTTAAAAAGGGGTTTATAAGCTAGCAAGAATGGGTGCAATGGAGAACACAATAATTCACAATGTACACAGTACATGTTGATCACTTAACACATATTTTACATATATTTGTAAAACAGTGCTATTACATTGTAGTAAGAATGAAAGGATCAAATGATGATCATTAGCAACTTACTCTTGTCCTCAGCTTCAAAGAAACAATAAAAAATAAGTTAAATAGTGTTTTCCTTGCATTACCCATTCCTTAAGACTCTACTTTTCTGTCATGTACAGGGACCATATCTATCTTGTTCTGGTACTAAAAACACTTTTGCAAAAACTGTAACAGTGAGAGACATCCAACATAGCTGATTCTATCTTGCTTCTAAACTCACAAGCTAACGGCCTTTGCTCATCCCTACACACAGACCAAGCTGACTATGGGAGGAATTTAGTTTGCAGTTTAACTTTAAAGGAAGGATGATAATGGCCCCTTCTCAAAACGAACCCACTCTTTCTTTGGGGACAGACACTGCTTTTATAAAACTAATTAAAGGCCAAAAACAGAATTATGGTAGGGGCCTGAATTCTGTTAAGGTTTAGGCATAGTTAAATAACAACTAGTCATTGTTTCCTAACTTACCTTTTTATAATTGCCCACTACTCAGGAGTCACTAGCTGGTGGTGATAAGATTTGTAACTTCTGGCTGGGTGCAGTGGCTCACACCTGCAATCCCAGCACTTTGGGAGGCTGAGGCAGGCAGATCATGAGTTCAGGAGTTTCAGACCAGGCTGGCCAATATGGTGAAACCCCATTTCTACTAAAAATACAAAAATTATCTGGGCATGGTAGCACGTGCCTGTAGTCCCAGCTACTCAAGAGGCTGAGGGGAGAAGAATCGCTTGAACCCAGGAAGAGGAGGCTGCAGTGAGCCAAGATCGCACCACTGCACTCCAGCCTGGACGACAGAGAGAGACTCAGTCTCAAAAAGAAAAAAGATTTGTAACTTCCCAATTGCCCCTACTGATAACATTGCTATTGTGAAACCTAAGACTGGTGTTTGAGATATTTTTCAGTGGACCAACTGACACCACCCAGGTGTCCCCGACCCAGGAAACGACTGAGCACATGAAGATAATTTCAATAACCCTGTGATTTCATCCCCAACTCAACCAATCAGCAGTGCCCATTCTCTAGCCCCCTCCCCACCAAACTACCCTTAAAAACCCTAGTTGTCAAATTATCAGGGAAGCAGATTTGAGAAATATCACACACCATCCTTACTGAGCCACACTGCAATTATTAAACTCTCTGCTGCAACACCAGTCTCAGTGTATTGGCTTTTTCTGTGCAGCAGGCAAAAAGAACCTGCTAGGCTGTAACAGTACCTGGCACAATACCCAGCAAAGAGTGATTTAAATGCTCAGTGAATATGTGTGTGGGCAGCAAGCCACCCAGGTGCTGAGGCAAGAGGCCGAGGGCACGAGCTGTTCCAGTATAATAACATATATAAAATAAGAATAGTTATGCTAGATATAGATCACAGATATGATTATATATGAATATCATTAATCATTAGTTTGTAGCAACTACTCTTTATTCCAATATTATAATAATCTTCGCTCTACAATCATAACCTAGGAAAAACCAGGTCATACAGAGGAGCTGAGGAGACATAGTGAGAAGTGACCATAAGATGAGCCTTCTGAGTATGAGCCTTCTGTCATGCCCGGGTAGGGCCACCAGAGGGCTCCTTGGTCTAGCGGTAACACCAACGTCTGGGAAGACGTCCGTTGCCAAGCGGACCGTGGTCTAGCGGTAGCGTCAGTGTCAAGGAAAAACACCCGCTACTTAGCAGACTGGGAAAGGGAGTCTCCCTTTTCCCGGAGTTTAGAGAAGACTCTACTCCTCCATCGCTTGTGGAGGGCGTGACATCAGTCAGGCCTGCCCGCAGTTATCTGGAGGCCTAACTGTCTCCCTGTGATGCTGTGCTTCAGTGGTCACACTCCTAGTCCACCTTCATGTTCCATCCTGTACACCTGGCTCTGCCTTCTAGATAGCAGTAGTAAATTAGTGAAAGTACTAAAAGTCTCTAATATGCAGAAATAATGGTGTAAGTTGTCTCTCTCCCTCTCTCTCCGCCTCGGCTGCCAGGCAGGGAAGGGCCCCCTGTCCAATGGACACGTGACCCACGTGACCTTACCGATCATTGGAAATGGCTCACGCTCCTTACCCTTGCCCCTTTGTCTTGTATCCAATAAATATCAGCGCAGCCTGGCATTCGGGGCCAGTACTGGTCTCCATGTCGTGGTAGTAGTGGTCCCCCGGGCCCAGCAGTCTTTTCTTTTATCTCTTTGTCTGGTGTCTTTATTCCTACAACCTCTCGTCTCCGCACACGGGGAGAAAAACCCACCGACCCTGTGGGGCTGGACCCTACATATGTGTAAATAAGTGAATAGAATAATGGCTAACAAAATATGCATAATATGGGCCAGGAGTGGTGGCTTATGCCTGTAATTCCAACACTTTGAAAGGCTGAAGTGGGAGGATTGCTTGAGTCCAGGAGTTACTAGCCTGGACAACATGGCAAGGCTCCGTCTCTACAAAAAATACAAAAATTAGTCAGGTGTGGGGGCACATGCCTGTAGTTTCAGCTACTTAGGAAGTTGCAGTGAAAGGCTCATTTGAGCCTGGGAGGACAAGGCTGCAGTGAGCTGTGATTATGCCACTGACTCCAGCCTCGGTGACAGAGTGAGACCCTGTCTCTAAATAAATAAATAAATAAATAAATAAGCATAATATGCACACATAATATGCAAGCATTTTATGCCAGGTTCTATATCAAGCATGTTACATGTATTTAATCCTGCCAATAATGCAAGTATTATTATATTCTCCATTTTTCAAATATAGAAATAGAGGCTTAGGGAGGTTACTTTGTCCAAAATTACAACCAAAACATGAAGCAGTTTAATGCCAGAGCCTTTGCTCTTAACCATTATGCCCAGAAACGACAGAAACAGATTTTAAAATAAAGTAACACCTTGTCAATAAGTATTAAAACAGGGAAAGAAAGACTGTGACAGAACAGAAACAGGACAATCTACTATATGCCAAGTACTAAACTAGGCACTAGAAATACAAGATAAATTAAGATCCATGCCCTCAAAGAGTTCACAGCCAAGATATGTAAACAAAAAAAATGTAATGCAGTATGAGTTCTATAATATTATAGATAAACTGCTACGGATATAAAGAAGATTCAAAAATTTGGCTTATGAGGCTTCACATGAGCATTAAATCACTAGATTTTACACATTTATGAGAACAGTATTCTAAAAGAAGGTCACCCACAAAGTCATAAAGGATCTAAGTACATGTGATAGATAATTGAGTTGACAGGCTAGAGGACTTGATACAAGTTAAGGGAGGCTGAGGTGGGAAGTATGATCAGACAAGAAAAGTAAGCTAAAACCTTATATGCCACTGTGGTATACAGTAGTCCCTTGGTATCCATGGGGGACTGGTTCCAAGACCTCCCTTGGATACCAAAATCCACCAATACTCAAGTCTCTGATATAAAATGGGGTACCTGCCAGGCATGGTGGCTCACGCCTGTAATCCCAGCAATTTGGGAGGCCAAGGTGGGTGGATCACCTGAGGTCAGGAGTTAGAGACCAACCTGGCCAACCTTGTGAAACCCCATCTCTATTAAAAATAGAAAACTTAGCTGGGCAGGTGGTGGGCACCTATAATCCCAGCTACTCAGGAGGCTGAGGCAGGAGAATCACTTAAACCCGGGAAGCAGAGGTTGCAGTAGGCTGAGATCGCACCATTGCACTCCAGCCTGGGCAATGGAGCAATGCTGCATCTTGAAAATAAAATAAAATAAAATAAAATAAAATAAAATAAAATAAAATAA